ATGTTATACGTTTGTATTAACCCAGGGCCTTTCAACGGGTGCTTTTGACCCCTTGGGCTTTGGCAATAACTTAAGTGAGATCGTATGTGATTAATTCTAATTATTCTCACTACAAGAGGATGCGTATAGACTATGATCTTTAATAACGGGATATTTTTTAGTTGTTTGTTACTTATTCGCTTGCTACTAAGCTTTTATTACGTAGTATATACATGTTCTTTCAATATTATTTTCTACTCTGTATTGGTTTTACATATGGCATTGTATTTTTTTTTCATGTTAATACCTTATAAAGACGCGAGTTACAACACGTTTAATGTGCACAAATAATACGTGCTATCGAGTATCATATTGTGATTACTTTCATTATTATTATTAATTATATTTGTAAAGTTTTCTGATGTTTGTAAATATACCTAACCGGATATTTTATTGCGCTTACATACGAGTGTTTAGTATATAACATAATCTCCTTAATAGCAGGAACTGCTACTTTCACCGTTTAAATGATCGGAATTAGAATAGCAATTTATATGATTCTTGTTAACGTTTGCTTTATTATATTGTCAACAACTTTGAAAATCTATTAAATGTTATATTTCTACTAACTGTCATGCTGTGCGCAATTAATTAAAACTAATAACCACGTAGCATGATAGAACTCAAAAGTATATATTGAAGTAATATTCACATTGATTTACATCAGTAGTGTAGTGCTAAGTTTTTTACCGGAATGCTAAAATTTAAAAAAGCGCTGCTCGTATTTGTCTCGCTCGGTTCGGTTTACGTATTTCTCTCGATTTGGTTCAAGTTTCAGTCCGCCGGAAAAAAACGCTCGACAGTTCACACAAGCCAGTTTGTTCCGATTTTGATTCTGGTTCGGGTTCCGTTCAAACTTTTAATAAAAAAATTAGTAATTTTTGTTATCAGAAATCATCTTTAGTTCCGGAACGCGTTCCTGTCCAAAAAAGAAGTACCAGAACCGACGTTCCGAAGCGTTCTCGCTCTACAATACCACTTACTTACATGGCAGTTGAATGTTTAGAAAATCATATTATTATTATTATTACACACATAGTTCTATATGTGTTTGTCAAAATGTTTAGTCATTGTCAGATTATTAACAAAATTTAACGCAATTATGATTTATTTTTCTAATACAAAATTAATTTCTTTTTTATTGATCGAATCTTGTCCATAAGCAATTCTGGCTTTGATTAATCCAGTTCGCAGTTTTTATTTTCTTTATAACTTGTCTAAAACCGAGTAATTTCATTAATTATTCTCTTTCAACAAGATCTTCTCCAAGGAATGAAAAATCTGTATTTATGGTCAAGGGGAATCTTCTCCGAATGGAATCACGTATTTCGCATTACTCTTTCTATCTCGAGTATTCTTAAGATTATAATAGAGGTAGTGTCGGTTCACTTTTTACTAAAAAAATCACGTATCTTTTAGTTTTAAAGTTGAAGTAAGTTGTTTAATATAAGAATTTAATAACGTGATGATATATATGATAAATATTTCAGCAATTTTGCTTAAATCTATATTCTGTTAAATCGTTGCAACAAATGTTATATATAATATTAATATTATCAGTAAACATCGCCTCTGCTAGTATATTCTTTGCAGTACTTTCTCAATTTCAAAATGCTCAATCAATGACTTTAAATATAAGATATTTTTGCGTGCTTTTCATGCTTATTCTGGAATGGTGCAAAATTGTTTTTAGATTTTACAGCCGTTTTGAAGATACGGGGAAAAAAACAAAAACGGAAATTCAGTTTCTGAGAGAACGGAGCGTCCGAATTTGTTGAAATGATTAAATTTTTGGGAATGCAGGTCCAGCGGTTTCGGAAATCCAATAAAAAAATTAAAAATAATGCCATTTAGCAGTCAAAAATGATCATTACACATATGCATATAAACATACATCTTATTGACAGATATTTTATAGAAATGTTAATAATACAATTTTTCATTACAAATGTTAATAATGTTGGTTCCGTACCAATGTTTATCCGTTATACATACTCGCTTCGATATTTCGTCTCTGCGCAATTAACGCAGTGCAATTGGTTTAAAAAAACGTTCAACATTTTCAAAATATAAAAAAAAATATTCAATTTCTTAAATAAATTTCAAAATTTTCAAAAATCAAATTTGGACAAAGTTTTCAAAAATGTTTAAAGCCCTTTATAAATGTTAATTTTTGGTACGGAAGGTTTCTGAAATTTGCCTTGAGGCAAATTGCCATACACCACTAGTTTAATTTTATTTAGCGTGTTTAGTATTTTGAATAGAGTTATCGTCAGCTCTTTATTTTGTCTCTCGTGAGCGTTAATAAACAACGGTTCGAGCAGACGAGAGTAACACAAATATCATTCGTTCAATGATGATGAGGCTTTGTACATTTGCATACCCATTTAATTAATAAGCTCAGCTTTCGAACGGTTTAACGCATACATTATCTTACAGTTTTGTAAATTAGATATTAAAATTACTTTTTTGAAACTCCAAGGAATTAACTATTCAACAAGTCTGTATTGAATCTGATTTATTTTCTATTGAGAATTGACATATCGATATAATTTTTCTTATGTGTTAGCTCAAATTTAATTATCTTTTTTGTCACTAAGAACTGTCGAAAAGCTGTGTTTTGCTTTTTAAATAAATGAGCGTTTTACATAATAAATATCAGATGACAAGGTTATAATTAGTGCAACTGTTTGTTGTCACTTATGATATTGTACCACACGCGTGAAGTCGAACTAAAGATAAATTTTGATATTTGTTTATTTTGAGGTAAAACGTTTAATCGAACAGTAGAAACATAGCTTTTTGTCAGTCTGAGATTACTCAACAAAAAGAGACTTGTAACATAACATAATTTTTTTATCCGAGAATTGGCTCCTTAATTCTTGTTTGCAACGCGATTGTGTAAATTTTTCAAATAGTTTCATTATAATTGCGTATTTCTAGGAGTTCTGTATCTGAATTAGTATTTCACATTGTACATGAAGTTATCAGATTTTTATATTTTCATTGTTAATTTAATTTTTCATTTCATTCACGTGGCTCATATTGAAGACCTGTAAGAAACGATGAAGCACTGCAGACCTGCACTAAATATTTGTAAGAAAACATTTTAATTAAAAAAGTGGATTTTTTTTTAAATTCTTTCAAATTTTGTTGACTTCACTATATATACTATCTATAAATATTTAATATCAGACTATATGAATATATAAAGCTTGGGTTTTGATTATTTAACATAATTTTTCGTTTTTATTAAAATATATAAAAATTGAACATTTCTAAAGGTTCAACATATTTTTATTGAAAAAACAAAGTTAATAAAATGCGAAAAATCAAAAATTAATTTATGGTTTCAAGTGAAAATATGCATCACGTTGTTAGATTAAATGTAGTTAGATCATCTAACTTAAATGGCAAAAAATTTATCCACTACATTATGATATACCTTAAAATATAAAGAATATATATCTATACATTTTTCAGAATATATATATATATTAGGTTGTCAAATATCTCCCTTCCGCTTTTTTGCTCTTGGTATTTGACAACCTTATATATATATATATATATATATATATATATATATATATATATATACGTAAGTTTGAATGTGTGCGTGGATTTATGTACATATACTCTTACTTTTCTTTACTTGTTATATATTTGCATAGTTTCAATAGAAACATAAATTCTTGTCGCACACATTATAAGTTGACAAACATGATTGTACATACCAGTGTATGTATTTATGCGTGAAAAATATCTCGACACATATACACATATAATAATTGTGAACGACTAAATAGATTTTAATTAATTTGCTAATTTTAATTTGTTCTGTTACTAGCAGTTGTGTTGTGAATGTGAAATGGTGCGAAATATTCTGCTCGAGACGATAACAATGGAATATTAAGTAAAGGAATAACTCATTGTGCCTAATTGACTGTATAATCTTCTGTTGCACAATAGAATATCTCAAGAAATATTTGGAACACTGCAAGCAATTGCATTTCTACAGAATCCAAGTTAAGCAATAGTTGTGTGCAAGTGGCGTTTATTTTAAAATACGTTTAATCATTTGTGTAATATGTAACTTGACTAAAAATGGTTTGCACAAACTTCATCACTATCAATGTGAAAAATGGTTGCGAGTGATAACGCCAATCGAGAATTAAAAATGGGCTTGAGAAAAGTGTTGTGTTATAAATTTTATATTATATGTGTCATTTACCACCATACTATTAATTTCGTTACTAACTTGATACAAATCAAGAGTTTTATATAATATTTATTTAAATATATATAAAATCAACGCAAATATTGGGATGGATATTAATGCCAATACTGGAAATTCTCATATAATAATTACCAAAAATATAAAATTTTGTTCAATAATTCATGCAAATATGTGAATTACCATTTCGATCCGGTATAAAATGAAATCTTATTACATATTATAATAATAATGACATCATGTAATATGCTTAATACACATACACATACGCAAAGACAACTAACCAAGTTCTGTATGAAAAAAAGGTAAAGATATTGTATTAAAAGAAGAAAAAAAACAATGTGATGAGAACGAACAATGAAATGGAACCTTATATATAAAAACGCAAAAAAATACTTATTGAATAATAGAATGCAAACTTTACGCTTAAGTATTTTTTACACTACAACTTAACGATCGATCAATACAAAGTAGAATATATTTGATATAAACAATACTTGGAAAGAAATTATCTACTCATAATTTTATCATAGATTGAAGAATCAGAAATTGGTGATCACATAGGACAAGCATTGTCGCGACTATTTGCTTGAATATATATTTCTTATTAAGTCTAAATAAATACTGTTCGAACAAATGATTATCATGTTCAAAAATTCTCGGTAAGGGTTCATTAACTTATTCAAAAATCCAAAATTCGCAAAGTCGAACATGGTCCGTTAGTATGATGCATTTGCAAGACATGAACGACAATGAAACTCTGATGGGCGGCGATCGCGATATAAAGCGATCTGCTGCCTGCGACCCTGATCGGACGTACGATGATCCTTGCGAACTTTTGGACGAAAGTGGTGTGGCCACAGGGCGCGGAATTCCACGTTCCCGTTCGTGGCTTTGTTGCCCGCAAAGGAACGCCAGCACGGGCAATGGGGCCAGTAACGGCCAAGGCAACGTCACACTGCCGTGCAGGTACTCTAGTCTACAGCCGGTAACTGTCCCGCCTAGACCGCAAGAACATGTAAGAAAATATTATATTAGTGTGTTTTTTTTTTTAATTTTATTTGGCCTCGCTTACTCTGAGCATTTAGCCACCTACAACATTTTTATTCATTTACATTCTATACCAATTTTATATCATTGAATATTCAAATTATATACATACTGTTTAGTAAAATTGACCATTCGGTTTGAATGGCCAAAAAAGTATGTTTGTAAGATAGATTCAAAGTGTTTAAGAAATTCGTGATCTATCTGGATGCTGCCGAACTCTATAGAACACTTGCACTTTGTCGAAGGACCAGATATATTTAGTTATTGGCTATATCAGACCGTTTGAATAATAAAAATAAAAAATGATAAATAAATGTTTAATTAACGTATATTTGAAAGAATATTAAGACTTATAGATGATTAGATAGTTGAAGTTTGAATTAGATGTTATAGTTTTGAGTGTTAATTTACGACTGATGATAACTATGTGAAATTTAAGTCGATACTAAATTAAAAGGAGTTTACAATTTTAGACATTTTTCTGATTGGTCCATTTTGTAGAATTAATGACATTCCCTCACAATTTTGGATCCAATCAATAGCTGTTACATTTGTCAACCAATCAGCTATTGGTCGGATTGCAGGATTCGTAGAATTAAAACTAGGTACACGTTTCTTGGAAATATGTTAATTGCAGGATGATATAGCTAGGGACAGTTGATTAAAATTCTTGGAAAAATGGATTACTGATATGATGACCGATTTTGGGACAGGATGCGTAACAATGAAAGGGATTATTTTATCGTTTTAAATTATATAATAAGGAATGAGGGTTTATTATCGCTATCCTGCATAAAGATAATAAAATAATTATACCAGGGTTGGGAATGAAGCGTTAACACATACTCCATTCTATATTATTCTTAATTTTTCTTCTTCTTCATTTTTCTGCCTCTTATTTTCTTCAATTTTTTGCTCTTTTCAAATTTCTAATTCTATTCAACATCTATCTTCATTGCATTTTTTTTCATTCTTTTTTTAATCTCAGCAAGTTCTAATACTTTTTCTTCTTACTCCTAATACAATTCTATGCTATTCGAATTCTGTTATTCCTATTTTTCTTAATTTTTATTCAATTTCAACTTAACAAATACTATTTTTATTTAATTTTACACAAATTCTAAGTCAATGACAGGATTCGATCTAAAGATCCCTGTCGTGTGGATCGAACACTCTACTAAGTTAGCTATGCAATTGGTGTGTTATTGTTGATATTTATTTAAAATTAATAATATTTTTGCGTGCAGGGAATTGCTTTTATTTCTTAATAATAAGCAGAAGTAGTACGTTTGATCGATTTTCATATTAGTATTTTTCTCAGCAATGATAATTTAATTTTTAACTTCCCGTAGGGTAATCTAATATGAAAATGTTTATATATCTTATGGGTAATCTGATATGAAAATGTTTTAAAACCTTCTTAACATTTTGGCATGCATTAGAAGAAATTGATTTGTATGTGGATTCAATTAAATCGGGACAAAAAGTGCCAAAATGGCAATTCAGTTTTTGAGAGAGCGGAGAGAATCTACCAAAAACATTTCACTTATATTGACAAAATGAAGAACTGATTAAATTTTTGGAAAGAAAAAAATGCCATTTGGCAGTCAAAAATAATTTTATTAATTTCTTTGCATTTTTATAACATTTTATGGAATGATTTTTTTTCTCAAAGATATAAGTTAGAAAATTTGTTGATTAGTTTCTGGCGAAGGTTAATGAAGACATTTCTTAGTAATTAACAGTTGTAAATACAAAAATATTTTTTGTAATTAAAATTTAAGTCAATTTAGTTAAGTAAATTGTTATTTTACATATTTTCAAAATATTAAAAATAGATCTTTTAACCAAACCAAAAATCTAAGTCAAAATATGGTTCCAAAAGGCATTGATTAGCATTGATTTTTTTTTTATTTTTTTGTATTGAATGAAGATCAGCTAATCCGATTCTTTGTATATGTCAGTAGGAAATTTAATTTTTTGAGAAATTATAAATTCATTTTATCTATATTAACTGAGAATCTTGTTCATTAGTTTTGTGCTAGCATTTTTGTTTTTGTTTGATTCTGACAATTTAAAAGTATTTATTAGTTTGCGATTCTCCTTAGCGTTGATTAGTCTTGAATGGAAAATCAACCGTACTCTTCGCAATTAACAGTTGAAAACAATTTTTTTGCCAGTTTTGGAAATTCATTAATTACTCACTGGAAATCAATTCGTATTGATCAACTCAATTATTCTCGATATTTGGAAGTTCATGGAACTACGATAGTTCTGGCTCTACGGCAAAATGCCATAATGCCTGGATTTATATGTGTAACTTTGTGCATAGCCTTCCAAAATATAGTCAAATATAGTACTTTTATTATTACTATACACTTGTTCGACGGAAACTTGAATTTTCATGCCATTTGTCACTAGCACTTATCCAATATCAGTTAGATTTGTGTATATTTAGAAATTCATTTTTGTTGTTATTGGAAACAGATGCTACTCGAATGAGTCAGATGATATACTGAAATGACAATCTAATCTTTTCATTGGTTATTTATATTAATGATTTTGTCCATCATAATTTAATAATAATTCAAACTATGAAACTGAATTTGACTGCGGGCTGTGTTGGCAGATTGAACATATTTATATATGTTGTTTCTGCTTTTCTATTCTTAATTGCAAAACTGTATTATTTGTTTTGGAAATGATTTTTCATTGATGAAATTGATGTTTACAGAAATAAGAATTTTCATTTTAACACGACGCATTATTTCAAACTTTGATGAATTTATATATATTTAAGTCATTATCATACAAAGTTTCATCAACTTTTTAAAAAAAATTAAATAATTTATTACGGAGAAACTTCCCGGCCGATCTTCGCGAAAAACTAATCAGCACGTTTCTCAACTTTTGAACGGTTTTCAAAATCTGCACTTTTATTCTATTTCTAAAGAAACGACTAAACCAATCGTCACGCAAAACTAATCAACACGAATCCTTATCAAATATAATCAAAAATTATTTGCTTATATGCACACGTATAATCGCATCTACTTTTTCGAATATTAGCGTCTAGATTCAAGTAAAAATCAATATATATGTAAAAAGCGATATGTAAGTAAAATTCGATATCACTTCTGCTTTATGTCAGGCTGTTTGAAGCGCGGAATTGAATATGAAATTTAACGATTATAGATAAATTAATAATAAATGAGAAAATATCAAGGATAAATTCTTACAATTAGTTCACATATTGATTTTATTCACTAGTCAAGAAGGTCAAGATTATCGCCAGAATTCTATTTGCTAATTTTATGTTTCAAGTCATTCTGAATCTTTAGACTCTAAACCTAAGACCCATTTATTATTAGTCTACCCATGATCGATAAATGGCATATTTAATTCCCCTTTCGGATAGCCTGATATCAAGCAGAAGTGATATCGATTTTTACTTACATATATAAAACAATTATATGTTTTCGAGTAAAGAGTCCATCCCGCTATTGCTGTTAATATATAAAATATATCATCCTATTAGAAAAGGACAACCAAGACATGTAGAAGTATGACATGAGAAAATGGTGAGACTTGATGATTGCTGCTGTTGATTGATAAATGAATTAGACATCAATGTATTCTTTATTTTATTGCATTTCTCAACTTTTTATGGTGCTTTATCAATTTATGGACTGAACGGCTCATATTGATCAATAATACTAATTTCTGATAGCCTACCACCTACCACCTGCATACTTGAATTTCTAAACATCTCGTCTCGAGTGTGTAGTTATATTTAGATATGATATGTGGTAGCAATTTGAATGAAGCAGTGTTGAAATACTACCGCATTCAATGCACTTGCTGATTTTATGCATTTGTATAACATGACTGATGATTTATGATTTCAGCAGAGTTCAACAATTTTACTAAAAGCTTTTGGATCGATCGAAGTTATTTTTGAATCACGTGAATCGAAACATCATTCAACAAGCAATTTGATCCAATCAAATATTGCTTTCAGATATTAGTTTGGAATCATTTAACTATTTTTATGTATTTATGACTAACATTGCATCATTAGAATATTAATAGTAAGCTATTCTATTTTAAAACGTCAGTTTTTTTAAAAAAAATTTTGTATTTTATTCTATTATGAAATTTCAATATGTTAATTGCTATTACTCTTATTTCTTTTATTTGTGTACTTTGGTATTTATAATTATTTTTTTATTTGCATATTAAATTATTAATATCACTTCTTTTGAGTAATTTTATGTTAGGCAGCCTACTTGACTTTTTTCTGATCTAATCCTAAACAAACTATCGCATCGCACAGTAAGCAAGTGTAAGATAACAAAAAAAAAAATATCAGAAAATAGCTATAGGTCTTACATCCTAATACAAAATAGCATTCAGAATAAAACCAAATTTATTATTATTATTATCTTCCCATAGGATAAGTTACAGTTATCGCAAAAAATCGAAAATTTAAATTTTTGCATATCTTCACGTTTCAAAGGTTTTTAAACATTTTGGCATATCTTATAAAAAATGGACGTAAGCATGTGTGTGCGTGCGTATGTTTAGATAAAATCTTTCGTCCGCGATATCGGGAGTACAGATCAACCGATTTCGATGATTCAAAAAACATTCGATTCATATTGACGGGGTGATGAGCTGATTGAGAAAGCCACTTCCAATTAAAACAACCAGCTTTTGAGAGAACTACTAATTAGAATGATTCAAAAAAACATTCGATACGTATTGATTGAGTGAATAAGTGATGACATTTTTGCGAAGACAGGTCCAGCTGCTTTGGAGATGCAGAGTAAGAAGTGCACAGAATAGCAGTTTCTCAGAGAATGGCGTATCCGATTAGAGTAATTCAAAAAGCATATGCGTGTGTCGACGGTTTTTGTGTATAATGTTTTCGTGATTCTAGGTGAACATATATAAAGGTCATCTCCAAATATAAGCAATTATATTAGATTTATAAAATACGACAATGAAATTTATAGAATTTATAATAATTATTTTCATATATTTAAAACAATGTGTAAGGATGTGGTGGCATAAGTGAAAGGAGTATTGGTAGTATGAGACCATCACTTGAAACGTTTATAATTTAGTTCTTTATGAAATAAAACTAGTGCAGAAACAGAATGTAGTGCGTTCATACAAATTTCTATATTTTGTTACTCGAGCTCATCGTAGATTCACATCAATTATCGTCAAGTGTCAATTATTATATCTAGATCTCAAACAATGCATATAGCATGTTTTTTGAACTAAATAATATGCAACAGGATTTCAATCAAACACTTTTAGCACTTTCGGTACGTGAGTTGAAAAGTTTCGATACGATTAAACGTATGGGAATAGTTTGCACAGGATTGTGTAATTTGACAATATTGGATAAATGATGGTAAATAACAACCCATGCTTGTTTATATGGTTTATGCGGGTGTACATTTTAATGTTATTTTATTCATTTAAAACATCGCATTCGTTCTAATTAGACGAAGCTTACTACTAGATCCCAATCTGTTGATCGAATCAGACCAAAATAGAACTACTACTACTGACCATGCCTAATCAATCACGGCTGAGGGTTCGACTCATGATAGCCTCACAGACTTTGTACAAAATTCCAATGTTCTTAACTAACTTTCCCAAGACGCCGGTTGGATAGTGGTGCTTATTTGTTCATTGCCAGTTACATGTATATACAACTGCGGACTATATTGGATAATAATTACATAAGCACTCTCGAAGGTGAACATTAAAACCGCGAAAAAAAATTATCAATTATTTTGTATGTTTTTTTATTTACTTACTTATTTTTAGATAAACATGTTTATCTAGAAATCTGTTTATACATTTTTGTAATCCATTAGTATGTTAATTACAAACAAATGCTTCACCAACCTATAAACAGTTGTAATGTTTCGGGCGGGTTTTACATACTTCCATGTTTTTTATGTTAGTCACAGATAAACGATACGTCGTATAAAACTAATCAACGCTAATTATTATTGATTTTTTCCAAAAGGCGTTGTCGAAAAAATATGTTTGAGATAAAACAATGTTTGTGTTCACATACACACACTTCTCCTATGACTTAATTAGTTAGACATGAACTTAGTATGTGAATTATATTTAGTAAACTGGTTACCGACCTTTCGCGTAATACACATGATTGATCAAGTCGGAAATCTATTTTGCTATCACGAAAGTTCAGAAAATCAATTTCGTTGAAGAAATAAAGCATAAAAAATTAGAAAAATTACTCGTAGTTGCTGTGTGAGTGATTGAGCAGGCTTTACAAAAGGATGTTTGCTGCTTTTATCTCAAAGAATAATTGCACAAAATTTTACATTTCTGAATGTATATTTTACGCACAAGCGTTATTTTATTTCTACTGGCATTAATTTTATACTGAAGTTTTTAATTTAATATTATTTGTTTCATAGCCGAGAGATGCAAATTGAGGTTTTGAAAAATTACTTTTCACTACGAATTAGCTCAGAGAACAGTACATAGTTATGTAAATATAAAGTGATTACGTTGCTTCAAATTATGATTATAGAATATATTAAATGTTACTACACGATTCTCTACAGAATTTTAATAAACCTTTGCGCCGGAAATAATGTTGGTTCAATTAGTAGTTCACTGATTAAATTATTGAATTATTTTTACATATCAAAGTAAATTTTTTATTCGAGTGTGTTCAAGTTTTTGTTTTGTATTTTGATTTGAGAAATTATGTTTCAAACAGCTATATTAGCTTAATGCTAATACCAGTGCTATATTAATTTAATGTTGTTAATTTTACACACAATAACATTTCTACTTTTGCAGTACTAAATGTAGGTTTATAAATTATATATGCCATTATTATTGATTCCTCAATTATATTTACTATACTACAACCGTAATAAAACTTTTTGCTAGATATAATTTCACAATTGAAATTAAATTATTTTGAAATAGTTATATTTTTCAAACTTACAAATCAGTTTTAAAATTTAATCATTTAATGTTCTTCACAATACTTGTCAGCAGTTTTTATTTCAGGTTTAAACTTTTCTGCTTTATAACGTTCTTTTGAATAATTTTATGACTCTTTTTCTCATAGGAATGAAATATATGCATTACTATAGTGAAAACATTTTCTAGTGTTGTACAGAAGAATCATTAAAAGCTTTTTTTTAACTTTTTGTAGAGCAGTGTACGTTATAGTAATCTCATAAAAGTCGGTAATATGTTGTTTTTATATCTTTACTTTTCAAAGTCTTCAAAATACCCTAGAAAATATGGATGAATGCATGTGTAGAAGGTTTGCATTCGAACTTATTTTAATAATTCAAAAATCATTTGATTGGTATTGATGGTGTAGAGATTGATTAGGAAGAACAAGTCCATTTCTGAGATACAAAGGAAAATAGAAAAAATGCTGTTAAGTTAATCAAATTGTGTGAAGAGTTAATTAGTTTCTAGGAATTTTAAGGAAAAAGTGCAAAACATGGTCATTTGGAGGTCAAAAATGATCATTTGACATTTGCATATGAAATTATCGGATATACAGAATTACCGTATCTACATAAATTCTTTTAATGATAACTGTTAATTGTATACATATAGATCACTTTGTTGTTATTTTGTTATAAGTTGAAAATTAGTAGCAATTAGCAGCAATTCTTAGCTTAGATAATTTATCTCGATCATAATGATGTCTCCAAAAGTGTGCGTTGGTTACGGTTGTGACAAATTTTGTGAGTGCGGTTGTGACAAGTATTTTTTGTTTTTTCGGGTGAAGATGAAACAGATAAAAATGTAACTTAAGACAAAACGCCAAAGAGAGAGGAAGAGAAAAATTCAACATAAGAAAATTGGCCGAGAGTTTTATTAACTTTGTTTAAAAAATATGTTTTGTTGTGTATTGTTATATATAATATTCATAAGCTATATTTAAATGAATATGTTGTGATGTGTTACATATTTCTGACAATAAAGTTCTTTCTGATAATAAAAGTTATTTTGGTGCTTATATCTCCTTCGTTTTTTAACCTATTTGTATGCCTGTCAAACTGTCCCTGGGGGTGTGGACACTGCATATATGCGTTTTTCTCACCTTTATACTTATCGATAGCCGAAGTATTAACAATGTTAATAAACTAAACTGAATAGTTAATGAACAAATAAACATTTTATTTATCATGAGGAAACTTTGTGTATATAAATATTAAATATATGTCCAGGATTGGAGTTGGAGTGCTAGAATTTGATTTAGAGTGCCAAAAATATGCGTTGGCAATTTTAAATGAATTTCGTTCAAGATGCTCGGCTTCACGGTACGGTGCACTTCGAACCGTTCCGTCCCCAAAGGGTTAACGCGTTTTTTAAATATTAATTTAATTTTTTTATAATAACTTTTTAACCAACGTGAATTTTCTTATTTATGATAAAGTTTTCTTATATATTACAATGGCGTCTGTTCGACCTCTTTACAATGACACTTATCGCTGCAAACTTTCTTGCAGAAGAATTCTTTCAAAACAGAGCAGCATGCTTTCGTATCCATACACCGTTGTTCCATATGATTCTTGGTAACTAGTTTTCAGGAAATATACCCCAAAATTACATTAACTTACTTATTTTTCTAAATATGGGCAATGTTATTCCTTTTTTCAATTTGCGATCAATGTTGAGTAGAGACAATATTCATTGCTTTTATTTACAGATGGCAAATTTAATAAAATAATTTGTTACTTCTTTTTTGCTTTAATTATATAATATTATTTATTTACTAGATATTTTAAGTAGTTATTTTGTACAGAAAGCGAAATAACGTTAAGGGACCTATTCTGCCGCATAACAGAAAAATGTTATGACAAGGTCATGTTATGAAGAACTTTCCATACTAATATTGACAAAAGCCATGCGGTTGTTGCTGTGCAGTCAGGTGAATTTCTCAGGTTGTCAGATAGAAAACATAACCTAAAAGCCGCACAAATGTAAAAAAACGATGTTAGATAAGAGTGTGTTTATGATACAGCTCCGTAACATACGATTGACGTTGCAGTTTATGTGTAAAACGCCTGGATGGACAGCAAATACGTGGCTTTATGACAATATTCAGTATGATTCCATTAGCATAATGTATGGAAGTCGGAGCGTAACATGGCTTTTTCGTAACATTTTTCTGTTATGTGGCAAAATCGGTCCCTAAATCTCGTTACAGTAATATTTGGAAGAGAAAATGCTATATATATGAAAGGAATAATTTTGAAATTCGTGAAAATTATAGATTAAAGAATTTTTTTAAACATGAACATATTCCTAAAACCTTCGTACTATTATTCAACTAAAGGTAAATTTACATGATTACGTTGGTGTAATATTTTTTTGAATTATATAATATGTTTTAGTTTTACAAGCGCCGATTATATAATATTTAAATTTTCATCCATTCATAATTATGTTAGAGGCTGTTAGAGCTATACATTTATCAAGTTTATTTCAAAATTTCAGTTGCACTTGGCAGCGATGTCTGCGTTGAAGGCCGAAGTACTTGATCTTTCGGCGCAGCTTCAGATCTGCAGCAGGGAACGCGATCGCCTGCAGACAAAACTCAAAATAGAACAAGAGGAAAGGTCTAGAGCTCAGGTATTTTAATCTTGAAAGGAAATAAATTATTTACGTAAGATTAAAAACTGTTGAAAGTGCCAATGAATGATTTTATGAAATATTTACTTAATTAGAAACTATTAGTGAAACACTGTTTGGGATTTAAAAAAAAATAGGGTAGGGCGGATCACAAAGGTCTAATTTGGCTTTCAGTCATTCTATTACTGCAGCTAATAATTAATTGCTAAAGCTAATTGATATAAATACCGATACTAATTGATATAAATACTAATGAGAAATTGTAATTCAATTTAATTTTTTTATAATTTTTTATAATTACTTAATAAATGGTTTCTGAACCGGTAGAACTTTAATTGACGGAGTTGTAAAAGATGGTTTTTCATTCGAGTGTGTATTTATTTTTAATGGGTTTATTGGAGTTACGATTGTGATTCATAATTTATTCCAAAGGTTCGTCTAGAGGCCCTAGGTACAGCGCACGAAGGCAGGCTTACTGAACTGCACTGCGTGATAGCGGAACTGAGTCGGAAGCTGCACCAAAGACAACAGGCGGCCATCATGGAAGAGGAAGCCGAAGCCGACATATCCGGTAAACTATTCTCTCTAATACCACTAAAGCCGAAGTTAATATACGCGATAATATTTGTATTTCCTAATTCCCTAAACTTTCTATGTATGTCACAATCACAATTAAATCTTGTCCGTTTTAAGACTTAGGGGACGTCCATTAATCACGTGATCGATTTCTAGAGATTTTTGGGACCTCCTCCACCTTGGTGATACGTGGTGATATTTAAAATGAACCCCCTCCCTCACCAAACATTACGTGCATTTTTAGTACCTAGAAAAAATCGTAAATATTTCAATATTGTCTGAAAAATTTTAGATTTTTTTTTAATTTAGGTAAAACATAAATGCACAAATTTTCACATGAGACCCTTCACGTGATATTTTCTCAACTCTCACCTATTAAGGCTCACGTGATTAATGGACGTCGCCTTATAAAAATAATGAATTGTGTGATTAAGTAAAATTTTTCAGATTGTAATTAACAAGCAGGATGATAGAGTGTAAATCCATAAAAAATACGATCTATTATTAAATAACGGATCTTCTGTGATTTTTTAAAAAAAATCTTTTTATTGGTTAAGAAAAACTACTTAATTTCCGCAATAAGTTAAAAATTATTACAAGAAATGTTTGCTTAATATGAATCTTGTATTGTTTTATATTAGGAATCTTGTATTCTGAAATCTTTATTCATCAGAACGAAAATTAAAATTTACGATATAACTTGTTATTATTAAACTCTCAAACCGTTTTTAGCGTTATTTCTGCCGAAACTACGGAATGGTTAATGTTGCGTTAATATGAATCTAAAGTTTTTGAAACTATGAGGCATTTTGTATTTACTGTATTTGATTGTAATAAAAAATGCAATTAAAATAATTGCAAAAGGATCTGCCTATCATGCAGTGTACTAAACCGCGTGTGCGATTTGTTAAACAAACAATGATTTTGTTTTTTAACAATTAAACAAAAATAAGAAAAAAAGATTTAACAATTGTATATTTTTTAACTATTTATATATATTTGAATGCTGCTTACACGATGAATATATAAATACGTTAATTTCATTTGTTATATTATAACTTTGTTATAGTTTTTAAAAATACCAACTATTAAAATATAAAATAAAAAATTTAATAAAATCATACAATTAAATTAACTATGGAGCATTAAACTATTTTAAATAATTCATCTATTATATTTTTATTTATATAGGTAATTTATTTTTCATAACTTGCAGAAATTGAATCAAGTTCAGTCTGCGATGCCAATGAAACTGACACGAATAAAGACGAGAGTGATATCGAAGAAGTAAAAGCTACAGTAAGTTGTAACTTTGTTTTTACAAATGTGTCTCTGTGAATTGGTAAAAACTTATTTTAATTATTAGGAATCATTTTTTATGGTAAAAATAGTAGTAGTACTATTGAATCTTTAATATAATATTTTTCTTTCATATAAATCTAATTAAAAATTCACCTAAAGAGGAATATTTTCTTAGATTATCACATACTATAGTGAACTAAATGATCACCTTATGATCTTATATGTATCTTATATGTTCTTGTTATAATATAATACATTTGTTCAATTCAGAGACTATATAGATGATTTTATATAATTTTCATATCAATTTTCAGCGGTCTGCCACTGAAAGTCCTTCTGTTCAAAACCGTCCTGAATTCACCGCATCAATTCTTAGTCATCAACAGTTTTTGTCTCCGTTGATGACCAAATCACAAACACAGCCTAGTGCGACTCAAGTTGCTGCTCTTCAAGAAGAAATCTTGAGTTTGCGCCAGGAGGTTGCACATTTGCAAGCGAAATTAGCGACTAAACGGAATTATGAATCGAGTTGTCAAGAATACGTCGAAGACTCCGCATGTGACAATGAAAAAAGCACCGACAACTCTATTAAACGATCAAATACTTACACGAGCGAGCATGACTTAGATGAAACGTTACCTTTAGGAAGACTTACTGGAACACTGAATGATATTAGTTGCATAGATAACCAATCTGTATCGGATAAAAATGAATTTGCTTTGATACATGACAACAGCAAAACTACTAATGTCGAAGACGTCAATAAAATGGAGAAGGATTGTGCCGCAGATACTGTAAATGATTATGAAATTAATGGATCTAATATGGATAAACGATCTGTCAATAATGTTCAGCAGCAAAGGCCGACTCATGCAAAAAGTAACAGTTTAGTGTTGCAGATAAATAGAAGCTCTTCGCCAGTTCATGTACATAGTAAGTATTATTACTTTTGTCTAAAGAATATCAAAGTTTTATTAACTTCCCGAAAGAGAAGTTTATGTTTTCTCGAGAAAATCCGATTTTTTTTTTTTGTTTTGTTTTCTCAACGTTTCGAGTCATTTTGAATCGAATGATACCAAATTTGGAAAAAGGATGTGTGTGTATGCTTGTTTATGTATGTATGATGTGATTATGTGCCGATTTTTAATATTTCATGGACGTTTTCTCAAAAACCGCTGAACCGATGTCAAAAATTTGAAAGCCATTCGATGTAATCCTAAGGACTTGCGTTCATTAATAAGGTGCGACGACCGGCAAGGTCGTTCTTTTTGTAATTAACAGAAAAGTGTAAAAATTTTTTTTCACGTTTTAGCCCACAATCTTGAATCGATTTTAAAAATTCAAAAACGGTTTGAAAGATATTGTTTGGGAATCGTCCTATTTACTTTATAACGAAAAGGTCTTCGTAATTGATTGCTAAAAAATGTATAGCATAGTGTACCTGGTCTTGATGAACATACTAAAATATAATATGCACGGACCTTACGAGTTCTAGTTTCATTCAATACATTTGTCATTTTAAACAGGTTCTTTAGGAAGGTCTGGAAATGTAGCGCCAGTGTCAAAAATGGCCGAGCGTGTTCGCCTTCGTCGTACGACTGATGAAAAACATATTACAGGCACTGATATCTTAAATACTGGTGTAAGTAATTGACTAAACACTTTCTTTACAATTGAATATCATTTCAAACGGCTTAACTGTAAGTAATTAAGTGGTTTTCAGCGATAAATATACTGAGAACTGTTTGCTTTCTTAACATTCTATTAGATGCATTTTATATGCTTTTAACAGTGTTTTGAAACATATTCAATTTGAACAGGTTTGTACAACAGAAGTTGCAGAGCATTTGGTTTCTGACTTACGAAATCAGTCGGGTCTTCACGAATCCTATTTATTAACTGACACTTTGAATGGATCAATATCCAGTACCCCTTCAGAAGTTTTGCGATTAGAATTAGAGTTGGAACGAACTATTGCACAACTGGAACATCTCAAAGCAAATAATACAGTACTGACATTGACCCTGCAAGAAAGCAAAGCGCATTGCGATAGGTATGTTATATTTTAACTGTTTCTATTTCCAACTCAATACATATACATAATTAATGATAGTATATAAATAAATATATAAACATGTTTATATAAATGTTTTATATAGCGAAGAAAATGCATTTACGCATGCCATGCTTAGATGTTTGCCGGATTCAATAATAATTATACCGAGTTAAACCTCTACTTTTCTTTTGTGTTCATTAAAACCGCCGTTAATGCTTGCTTCATAAACGAAAAGATGCATACATACGATTACGTATATACATACGATTACATACATATAGAAATGCATTTGTTAGTTATATCATACAACTTGCATGGACGTACATATATACATATATGTATACTAGTGATGTGCCGACTCGAAAAATTCCCGATTCGAATGATTCGAATCAGAAAAAAACCTGATTCGAATCATGATTCGAATCAACTCGAATCAAGTATATATATGGACAAAAAAATTCATGGATGTATTTATTTAGTAAAAGTGATCCAAATTTATAATCAAAATTGTCAGTTTAACCAATATAACCGACAAAGTAGAAATTGTAAACATAATCACTATCAAAAAGTATATTCTGAAAATTATTAAAAATGATATAATTTTGAGGACGGCTAAAACATATCTTCAAATTAATTTACAATAATAGATTACCAAACAATTGTGCATCACTAAAGCATATAAAATAATATTTGGAATCATGGGTCGATTGTTTATTTTACTATGTAATCAGTAAAGGATCGCATCTAAACTGAGAGCTGAAAGTTAATTTCATTAATGTGAATTTGCCATTACTTATATAATCAGAAGTTAACATATTATTTACTGACTTTCTGGTGTTTAGTAATTGTTTCGAAAGAGAATTATATTGAAAGATTTCCGAAACTCGTTTCATAATTTCGAGTGGTTTATTCTGATAACATTTAAAATCTAAAACACTTAATTATTAACAAAATTGGGTATTGATATTTCACGAATAAAATCGCTCTCAGCGCTCCGTAAAATAAATAAACACGCAAGAACGACGACGCATTGTATCGCCCATACGGTTAACTAACTCATATCGCTCGAACGGCTTGAAGTCGGGATGATTCGAATCAGAATTGAAGTCGGAATAACTCGAAACGCCGCTTGATTCGGTTTGGCTCATGAAGTCGGAACAACTCATAACGCCGCTTGATTCGAGTTGGCTCATATGAAGTCGGAACAACTCATATCGCCGCTTGATTCGAGTTGGCTCATATGAAGTCGGAACAACTCATATCGCCGCTTGATTCGAGTTGGCTCATATGAAGTCGGAACAACTCATATCGCCGCTTGATTCGGTTTGAGTCATGAAGTCGGAATAACTCATATCGCCGCTTGATTCGGTTTGAGTCATATGAAGTCGGATGATATAGTTAGTCGATGAATGCGGTTAAAGTCACACAAAGACGATTGGAGTTGGCTGATACATTTAAGCATATTAAAGTCGGGTGGCTCGCATGATTTAATTCATTATTTATTTTTTAATTTATGATATTTATTTTTTATATTATTATAATATTGAATTAAATTAAAACATTTTTTTATATTTATATTTATGAAAAATTTTATATTTATGAAAATTTGTGTTCATATTTTATCACAGTAAATATTTCGCGGCTTGATGCGAGTTGATTCGAATCAAGTAAAATCTGATTCGAATCAAGTCGTTAAAGGCTTGATTCGAATGATTCGAATCACTTGATTCGACTTGGCACATCACTAATGTATACGTATTCCAATTCAAACATACATACTCACATACATAATCAAAAGACTAGTCAAGACTGCGTCATGAATATAATTTAAAAATATACCTACTGATCTCATATTTGAATATTTTTTATTGAATTCTAATTAAAATGTTAACTAACAAAATTGTTAAGTCGAAAATCAATTTAAAGTTATAAAATTTATTATTCATATAAAAAAAAATTTGCGTCGGCCGGGAATCGAACCCGGATCAACTGCTTGGAAGGCAACTATGCTGACCATTACACCACCGACGCTATAAGAGTTCGTTGCGTGTACTGGCAATAGTAGACACATTTGTATACAGAATCGGCACCACTCTAGCATTTAACGAATTTATGTATAATATCAAGGGTGTTTTTAAAACTCTATCTCATCAATTGTTCGAGATATTATTGAAAATATTTCCATTTTATTTATAAGTTGCACCATTTTTAACTTTCCGTAGTAGTCCAGTCATCTGGTCGTTTTGCCGGTACAGTACTCCGGAATTCTGAAAATAGGTAATCTTTATAGATTTCGAGGTGCTCTTTACGAAAATCAACTTTGCCACCTCAAATTTGAACGGCAAGTTGCCGCCATATTGGAAAAATGGCGTCAAAAAACAGCTTTTTTAAAATAACTCCTTTCTGGGCTCATTCTACGATAAAAGTATCTATGTACGAATTAAACTAGATAAAATTTCCTACAATTCTTTAGAAAACCGTTTTTTTTTTTTTGTAAAATTGATAGTTTGAGCAGTATCAAATCTCTCCATATATGACAGCACTTTGAACTTGACCACATTCTTTCTAATAAATAAATATTTTCAATGTTAAATTAAGCGAATAAGATCTAGAAATAAAATAATTGGTTTAACAAAATAAAAGATATTGAATAAATTATAGAAAGCTTTCTTTAGTTTAATTTTGTTTATAGACACATTTGTATACAGAATCGGCACCACTCTAGCATTTAAACGAATTTATGTATAATATCAAGGGTGTTTTTAAAACTCTATCTCATCAATTGTTCGAGATATTATTGAAAATATTTCCATTTTATTTATAAGTTGCACCATTTTAACTTTCCGTAGTAGTCCAGTCATCTGGTCGTTTTGCCGGTACAGTACTCCGGAATTCTGAAAATAGGTAATCTTTATAGATTTCGAGGTGCTCTTTACGAAAATCAACTTTGCCACCTCAAATTTGAACGGCAAGTTGCCGCCATATTGGAAAAATGGCGTCAAAAAACAGCTTTTTTAAAATAACTCCTTTCTGGCTCATTCTACGATAAAAGTATCTATGTACGAATTAAACTAGATAAAATTTCCTACAATTCTTAGAAAACCGTTTTTTTTTTTGTAAAATTGATAGTTTGAGCAGTATCAAATCTCTCCATATATGACAGCACTTTGAACTTGACCACATTCTTTCTAATAAATAAATATTTTCAATGTTAAATTAAGCGAATAAGATCTAGAAATAAAATAATTGGTTTAACAAAATAAAAGATATTGAATAAATTATAGAAAGCTTTCTCTAGTTTAATTTGTTTATAGCTACTTTGCTATTGAAGTGTTAAAAAATCAGCAAAAAACAGAAAAATATTTGAATTATTTTATTTCTAGATCTTATTCTCTTAATCTAACATTGAAAATATATATTTATTAGAGAGAATGTGGTCAAGTTCAAAGTGCAAAGTGGCAAAGTTGATTTTCGTAAAAGAGCACCTCGAAATCTATAAGATTACTAATTTTCAGAATTCCCGGAGTACTGTACCGGCAACAGCCTTTTTTTGACCAAATGACTGGACTATAGGTAAGTTATAGTAATCGCGAAAAATTCGAAGATGAAAATTTCTATACATCTTTACGTTTCAAAACTTTCTGAACATTTTGGCATATCTTAGGCAAAAATTATGTTTTTCAAAAATTTCAAGATATAAAAAAATCATTTTTTTAAAAAATGTTCAGTTTTTTTTTCAAAAATCAATTTTTTCAAAGTATTTAAAATTTTCAAATTGCGGTACGGAAAGTTGAAGCAATTGCCTCGAGGCACGACGTATAAACCGTTTAAATACTAGGGTGGCACCAATTGTGTATAGTATGGCTTTCATGTGATATCTCATGTTCAGTTATTTTTAACGGAAAAGAACAATAGTAATACATAACTTTGAACGAACTTATCGAGCGAGATTAGAATTAAAGTGGTTTGTTGAAGTAAACACCTGCATTATTGAGTTGAGACTAAGAACCCTCTATAAGGTACATAACAATAAGAATATGCAGTAAATATTTTATTTACAGAAGAGAATTTATTAACGGCTTCGGCTTCGGCTAAATAGGATCGACTTTTTTTGTTAATAACTTGCATACGATTTTTTACAGAATGGCTTTATTGTGCGGGGCGTTACGAATCGAATGCAACGGCTTTACAGGTGGCACTAAATTACAGCGATCGAACAGTGGAAGCTTACGACGTTCTACTAGCTTTATTAGAAAGCCAAGCTGCTATAATGAAGGCAGAAAATGACGAGGTACATCTGCGTGACTAATAACAACTAGTATATCAATGAATTGTAACAAAGACATTATGTGGACTGGGGTTTTCAAATTTTTATATTCAATATTTGCAACATTTAATGTATACTTACATCATTTTTCTTTGGTAAAAAAATGTTCTATTCTTAAAATAAATGTCAAGTTTATTTTTAAATTACGACCCTTAACTATGAAATTTCAGCCATGTGAGACTTGGGGAAACACTGTTTTTGCCTTATGGCGAAAATGGAAAAAAATCGATATGTGATTCGAATATATGATATATTTAATAAACATTATTTTAAATCCTCGCAAAAATGATTTAAAATCTAGTATAAATTGCTCAGGAATCTAATTATTTATGGATTAAGAATTTTCATACCACAGGAATTAAGGATAGCGAAAGAAAGCAGGAAAACCGCAGAGAGACTGTTGCAAAGCACCTATTGGCACGTTTGCAAGCAGAAGGGGGATCACAGATGGTCAGCACGGGACCGTGGCAAGATGCTAAAACACTTTACGCTAATAGGTGATAATTCTTCATATTTATATTGTAATTTACACCTACATTCCTTTCTGAAATTATTTTTGACGATTTGGTATTGTCCGTACTCTGTACTTTTCGGGTTTTACCATGTGTGATATCGAGATTGTTTCTGTAACATAAGTCTACCAGCATTATGAGTATGACCCTGTTTCTTTTAATTAGCCCGTATTTTCAAGAATTTTTTTAAATTTTATATTCATATATCAGCATCCAATGAAGTTAATTCATCAGTATAGAATATGTATAACTTTATTGAACGTCACATTATATTTTTATTTATCATTTACATTCAGTGCTGTTACTTCCGAGCCATGGTCAGCAGAAGACGAAA